TTAAATTCAAAATATTAACACACTGGGAATGCAATGAAATAAAATTAAACACATAATTAGATACAATTATATGGAATTAAAGATATAAAATTTGTTATATATTTATCGATATATTCTCCCTATTTATTATTCTTATTCAGTTTCGGATAATGGAAAATGTTTTGCTTGGTATGCATATCGTGTATAAATGTGTGACGTTTGACTGTATAGTCAGGTGATTATACTGCCAACATTCCCATAGAAATTTCAATAATACATGTGTGTTACATACGTACGATTATCAAAGCCATTGACTGAAATCGAGCGAATACAAACTGAAATGTACAATACCCTGATTGCGGCGCGTGATATCCGTATTAAAAAAAAAATAAATCATTTAAATTGGACCGGTACACGAAACCAGCGAATATAATACCGTTTCACTTTGCTTTGTTAATATCATCTGGCTTTACTGTTGCTTAAAGAGCTTTCGTTTTTAACTAATACGTCAATATTCGTCAATATAAATTAACAGCACGGTTCTCATAGATATATAATAATCTTGTGAAACAGAAGTTTTGGAAGCTATTGTTATGTAGAAGTTATATAGTGGAATATATTAATATCCTTTATTATACAACAAATTCAGTTATTACAATTTGATTATTTAATGCGTTACACATTAAATTACATCAGTTGCATGCATGCTATTTCAAACTGTCAGATTAAATGAGGCAAATAAATTATCTATGGATAGTTTGCCAATTATGATTCATGATTGATTGATTTAATTAATTATTATACCTGGCAATATGGAAACAAAAGTTAATCGATTAATTTATCGATATAAATATGGATTTGTCGAAAGCAATACAATAAAAATGATTTATAATTATAATTATAAAATTTATAATTTACATCTCATTTCCCAATATGTACTAAAAAATGATTAATAGTCCAATATTCTTTATTAAAAATGCAAATAATGATATCAAGATAGCATAATTAGCGTGCTTAGAACCGGGGTCATACAAAAAGTAGAAAATATCGAAAAAATTGTCCTAATTGCAAGATATACAATTCGCGTTAGCGCGTAGACCCGCAGGGGCATTCTAATTAATGCTATTAGTGGACGTTAACGCGTTCCATCGTTACGTGAGATTTATGTTCGACGCGAAGTAATTATACTTTGCTAGGATTCAAAGTTTCCGAGATACTGCAACCGTTTCAAAGATAAAATTACTACCGTCGTTTTCGATAATATCATGTCCGATGGACGGAAATATATAATCATTATTACGTTTTTTTTATTGATTTGTTTAATTGATTAGTAATAGATATAATGAATAATATTCATCATGAATATTAATGAAATCTCTTTTACTTGAAACGAAATATCTCATTTTAATTAATTAATTGCACGAAAAATATTTCATACATGTATACTCACATAGTGCTAAATACACTATGTAAAGAAAATTGCATATTTCAAAAAGAAATTTATTAATAAAAATGTCATCATTAATTTATTATACATAATTATGAAAAGTTTCGCAGTATATAGTGAAATTTATTTTATATTTCAGATAATAAGTTTGACACAGAAATTAATTGAAAAAAAAAAAAACTATAGATTGATTAAACACAACAACACAAAGGACATGAACAATGTTTCAGGAGACAATGAATGATGTTTCTGTCAAAGAAGCTGTGCTGTGATACAGATTTGTGCACTTTGTTACTAGAGGTGGACAAGTTCGGCTCGTACAATCTAAAGCAGAGAGAGACGGGGGGGGAGGAGAGAGGATGGGTTAGGCATGGGATGGGATGCAAGCTAAACGGTTTCCATGCAAATGGCTAAAGAGGCTCTCGAAACATCTTCAATCGGCAACCCAATGCACGGTCCGGAAGTGCATTAAAGCGTTACAGTCGTTATGCCGCAATATTGCGTTATGTAAACGACCCGCGAATCATCCTCCACAATCCTTGCCTCCTATCGACCATATCGTGGCGCGCATTCGACCGATAAACGTTACACGCGTGCTCG